TACACAATTACAGGGGACCCCCAACCCAAAAGCATTAACCGTTTTCCCAAAAGTTGCGTTGGTCAAATTAATTTTCCCCCCTAAAATAATGGAAATAGAATTTAAACCGTTCCGACCCCCAAAAAATGAAAAAAAAATTTTTTTAAAGTTAAATATAAATATCCCAAAAAAACAAGACAAATAAATAAAAGCACAAAAAATGGATAAATGAAAATTTAAAATACCTTACCTTCATTTACTTTCTTTACTGATTGACTTGTGGGGTAGCAGCACTAGGAGGGAAGGGAAGAAAGTTTATTATGATTCAATTGACGCAATACTCAGGGTTATTTTCTATCACAATTCATCAAATGACATTATAAATAACATTAAAAACACAGAAACATGATAATATACTCTAGAATGAATAAAATTTGCCATAATGTATATGAGGAGTAAATGGTGTAAGTGTCATTGTTGGGTTTAAGGGCCACCACTGAGAGAAGCCGTGTTGGTGGCGGTGGAGGATTTTGTCACAACCATCACACTTAAACAATGTTGCAAATTTATAAATAAAAAATATTTACATTTTAATTTATAAATAAGAAACATTTAATTTTAATTTATAAATAAGAAACATTTACATTTTAATTTATAAGAAACATTTACATTTTAATTTATAAATAAGTAGGTTTATTCATGTATACACAAATACAGTTACACAGATTAGCATGTGTAAAGTACCTAGGATAACCCAAAAAAGTCAGAGTGACTTATGTATTTCCATTGGGGTCCTTTTATATTTACACTTAATATATTTACTTTTATACTTACACTTTTATATTTACACTTACCTTGGAGATGTTAGTTTAATTAGTTAGTTTGATGGAGGAGATGCTGGCAAAGGTTTAGGGTAGTGGAAGATAGCAGGCCAGCGTATGTTCAGCGGATGTACACACATCCAACAACACTGGAGTTACTTTTGTGTCATTTTTCTATCACTTACTCGTTTAACTTACTTTCTACACTGTTAATTCTACACTTTATCGCTGGCTGGCACTATAGCCTTTATCGATACCTGCTGCTTTAGTATTGTACACATCATAGAATCACTGAATCATTGCAGAAGGCACATTCTCCCCCCTCTCTTCCTCCTCCACTTTGGTACTTTGCAACGAGTTTTTTCTTGAATTTTTCTTGTGTTTCTTTCCTTCTTTATCACAGGGCTGGCACCAGAAACTTTCTTTGGACCCATGGTGGCTTATTTAGCAATTACAAGCACTAAAGACACTGGAATAATACAAAATATATCGCAGGTACACTGGGAATCGACCAAGACAGCTTGTAAACAATGGCTGTACATGGAGTCTTGGAGTGGCTGGGCCCGCTCAGGCTGCGCTCCGGTCCCATGGACAAGTTCAGGACAAACGTCGTTAGACAAGTTTTTTGACGTTGGTAGAGCCATTTTTTTTTACGCCAAAGAGCACCGTTAAATGAATTTGCCATTACTTAATGCCGCCGTTAGTTGAGGGTCCACTGTATATCCAATACAAGACCACTGCAGCAATCACAAAGCACAAACAACTTTATACCAAAGCATTTCCTCTTGCTTGGTATGTACTGCTTGAATGAGAGTCTTCCTTTGAACAGAATCAAAGACTCATCAATAACAAGCTTCCTGAAGGGATAAAAATACATACAGAATTTCAATTTCAGATACACAGAATCAAAGACTCATCAATAACAAGCTTCCTAAAGGGACAAAAATACATACAGAATTTCAGTTTCAGATACACAAACACATTCCTAATCTTATATAACCTGTAGTTTCTGTCAGGCCTGGTTTTGTCTGAGAAGTGAAGCATACGTAATAGTAGCACAAATCGATTCACTCCTATTATATCACTGAAACCTGGGGTTGCAATCAGGCGGTCTGTCGACCAGTATGATTTGACACTGTGCTTATACACATGTGGCATAAGCATTATTGTGGCAAACAAAAGATACATCTCAGCCACAGTTGTCTCCTTCCACTGGTGTAGGCATGAGTTTGGTGAAAGTACTGTTTGCCATGGTGTACTCAAAGTATCTGTTGCTTTCCCTGACAATAATTTCCATCAGGAGTTCATCAAAAAATAACACAAAACATTCCAGTTCAGTGGCATTGTTCCCAAGTGTACAAGATGGCCATATTCCACTTTGACTCTACCAGAGCACATAAACCGTCGTATATACTGATGCTTCACTGGAGAATATTCTACTTCACTCTCGCTACTGGAACTGTTTTCAAGAGCTTGGAGTTCATATTCACTATCACTATCATCACCACTGCTCACATCTGAGTCCTGGATATGGGAAAATAAGAGTTTCCTCTTTCATTCTGGTACAACTGAACGTGAACAAGACGGCCCAGCACCAGAGATGGAAGGTTGAGGGTCGTCTGGATTTTCCTCACTATTACTGGTATTATGGCCATTAGTTTCGGTCACAACCCCACCAAAACCTTGAAACTCATCTTCACTGGCACTTCCAACTGTATTAGAACTTCACTGGGGAACAAAAGTGTCCCAATTCGCCAAGGAGTGAGGAGTTTCTTACCGTGAGGCATGGTAAGCAAGGTGTACTAAAATCGCATTCCCACAATGCACCACTGGGACCCCCAAATTTTTTCCTACCGCGCACACTGACCACACAGACCCATTCTCTCACATCTAGGCCTACCAGCTGTTTCCCGCTTAATTTGAAGCCACTAGAATTTACACGTACTAGTATGGCACCAACCCTGGTGCACAAGCCGTCCGTACTAGTACAGCACCAACCCTGAAAGGATTAACAACGGAGTTCCGTTCCTAAGACCACGTTGGTAAACGAATTCTTCGCTAAGTGAGGAGCATACTATAATGGTAGTGAGTTTGTGTCAATCATCATTGATATTGTTTTAATGTCACCTTTGCACCATTTATAACATTTCTGGTACATGTATATTTTTAAATGTTTACACAGTAGTGCAATGCATACTGAAGTAAACAGTATAGAGGAAATCAGCTCTAATATACAATATTTAGGTATGAATACTGGTCAGAGAGCCCATCCTAAGTCTGAGGTGTCGGTAAATGAGTACATAGCTATGCGAGGAGAGGCTGTATACTAAAAATGTTATAAATGGTGCAAAGGTGACATTAAAACAATATCAAAGATGGTTGACACAAACCCATTACCATTATAATATGCTCCTTGTAGCAACAAATTCGTTTACCAACATGGTCTTAGGAACAGAACTCCGTCGTTAAGTGAGAAGCTGTACAGGCATATGCGTGTGTCACATGCATGCACATGTGCACACACATGAACACACACACACACACACAACAGAAGTACCCTGTATCTTTCTGTTGTCTTTATTTTTCTGATTTTGTTACTGCATAAAATATATTCACTGTTTGACTGGGTTGAGCTTCAACTTCTGTGCTTCTTGTAGATGTATTATGTATTATAACATTTAGGGGTAAGCACTTTATCTTTGACAAGTTTTAAGAGCTCTACTCCCTTCAGCCCAGTCTTGTGCCAGGTTTCCATACTGGCTGTCTGGTAAGCCACACTGATGTGCTAGTGCCCTGCAGATGGACATAGCCCTCACAACCCATCTGATTCTGAACTTACCTGTAGATGATTCCAGGGATAATTGCCTCCCTTCCTCCCCACAGCCCATTCTCAGACCAGGCCTCTTGTTTGCTGGTCTGATTAAACAGGCTGTTGATGCTAGCCGCATGAAGTCCAATAAATTCTTGCAACACAGCCCAACTGATTGGGAACTGCACATACAGTGGACCCTTGGCTAACGATATTAATCCGTTCCTGAGAGTTCATTGTTAGACGAAATTATCATTAGCCAAATTAATTTTCCCCATAAGAAATAATGGAAATCCAATTAATCCGTTCCAGACAGCCAAAAGTATTAAAAATAATTTTTTTTTCATGAAATATACATTTCCCTACAAAGAAAACAATGAGACACGCACAATAACTATATAATATGTAAATGTTAAAATGACACTTACCTTAACTGAAGAGTATTGATAAGTGATGAGACACTTTCTTGAACACTCTGGGATTTTCAGTGATACATGAGTAAAGGCTTCACTTTGCAATCCTCACTAGCATTACAACAAAACAAGAAAGTTAGCCTGTCTTTCATGGGCTTGTCTCCTGGGAGTGCTTTTTCCTCCTGAGTAATGTAGGTCCTGTTTGGCATTTTCTTCCAGAACAGATCTGTTTCGTCACAATTGAACACATTTTGGGGTTGGAATTTTTCAGCTTCGCATGCCTTATCACACTGCAATTCTTAAATCTCTCAAACCAACCTTTGCTGGCCTTAAATTCACCAGGTATTTTTTCCTGTTCACCTGGGTGTTAGTCGACTGGTGTGGGTTGCATCCTGGGGCACAAGATTAAGGACCCCAATGGAAATAAGTTACAGTCCTCAATAATAAACAATAATAAAACTATCAACATCAGAAACACTGTTGGGACAAGAGTTATAACTTGACAAGTCCCTTTGCCAGGTGCAAGATCAACCAAGCTGTGATGGATATCTGGGTCAGTGGACCACCAACAGCAGCAGCAACCTGGTTGAACAGGCAAGCACCAGCTAGCTTGGCCCATGGCTGGGATGCAGTAGGAAAACTCCATACACATCACAGGTATATCTGTTTGTGTCTTCTACTAAGGTGACATACTTATTTTGGTAACATCTGCAAATGATATGCAGCTATGGTTAGTATTCTAAAGCTATATCCACTACGAGAATGTGAAACACCAATGGTGCTACACCCTTGCCTTGGGGTGATGGCATTTTCTGCTTTGCCAAGATATCTGAAGGATCTGAGTGATCACGTTCATGAATGAACATACAGTAGGTTCTATTTAGAAAAAAAAAAAAAAAAAAGAAATACTAACATGATTCCAAGATGGTTAAATGTCACTAATAAAATTTATCACAACTTCCAAATCTCAACGCTTACCATTTCTAGAAACGTCCAGTTCCACGAGGTTCTCAAAATTTTGTATGTCAGGAGGAATCCTCGAGATTTCATTGTCACTGAGGCCCAAGCGACGCAACTTGTGTAGCCGAAAGAAGTTCTGTAGATAAGCAAAAAACAGGGTATTAGTTTACTGTATACTGTCTGACACTCATCTGATACCCCATATCCCTCTCGCATACAGAGAAGCACACACAGTTCCTGAGGGTAACAAAATGAATAGGAAAAAAGATACTAGGGAAGTAACCCAGATGATCTGGTTAAAATTCAAATTCAAAATTTATTTTCACATAACATTTTTATTTTCGAGAGTTTTACTACTCCCAGAACCTGGCCATGGGCCAGGCTTGTCTGGTGCTAGCCAGGTAAACCAGACTGTTACTGCTGGAGACCCGCAGCCCCACATATCCATCACAGCCTTTTTGATCTGGCACCTGGTGAAGATACTTGTCTAGCTTCCTCTGGAAGACTTATACATGTACTTGTTCCAGCAGTGCTTCTGATAACTTTTGGCAAGATGTTGAATAATCTGGGTCCACAGATATTGATACAGTGTTCCCTTACTGTACCAACTGCACCCCTGCTTTTCACTTGGTTTATTTTACACTTCCTCCCACATCTCTCGCTCCAATATGTTGCGGGAGTATGCAGATTTGAGACCTGGCCCTCGGGTACTTTCCAGGTACATATATATTATCATGAATCTCTCTCTCCACCACTCCAGTGAGTACATATTTAAGACTAAGGTATTCCCAGTAATTTAACCCCTTGACTGTCGCAACCCCAAATCCTGAGGTTGTCTCCTGGTGTCGCAAAATTTCCGAAAAAAAAATTTTTTTTTTTTCTTATGAAATGATAGAAAATCTTTTCCTGATTGTAATGACACCAAAAGAACAAAATTTGATGGAAAACTGATGGAATTACGCTCTCGCAAAGTTAGCAACTTCGGCAATATTTACAAATCGGTGATTTCGCCCACTTTGAGCCCTATTTTCAGCTAATTCCATTGTTCCAGTCGACCAAACTCATAGGTATTTCTTTAGAACTCCATTTTTTTCTATCGACTGAGTACAAGAAACTGCCCATTTACCGATTTCAACTACCCAATAACGTGGTCAGAAATTTGCAATTTGGCCAATTTCACGAAAATTAAAAATATGACAATTTCAAAATAGGGTCCAGAATGAACAATGCAGACATTCCTGGCTCTATAATAACATTTTCATTGTTCATCATTCACGTCTCCAGGCCCCTCTGATATTACTCTTGATTTCTATTTTGAATTTTTATTCAAACAAAAAATAGAAGATTTAATGTTATGCAGACTACTGCAATACTGTAATAACTGTATAAATAATGTCAACCCATTCATGACTGCATATCAGAATGGCTACTTGGACATTTATTGGAAAATGGCATCATTTGTTTACTTTTGAACATCGGCAAATATCAAACATTTCCCCTACTTTGAGCTCCATTTCAAGGTTCTTTTCATAGTAAAACCAATCAAAATCACTTCTGTTTCTATAATATTTTCCCATCCTATCAAATGAGACCAAGAAAACGAGAATACAACCATAAATACTACACGAAAATAGACCACAAAGTCCGCATTTTAATTAAAAAAAAAAAAAAAAAAAAGATCGGAGTTTTTTTTATCTCATTATGCACTGCGTGCTGCAGGATTTCTTTTATATGGTGCACACCGACCACACAGACCCATTCTCTCACATGTGGGCCTACGAGCTTTCTCCTGCTTGATTTGAAGCCACTAGAATTTATGAGTACACCTACCATCCAACTTATGACCACTCGACTTACGACCTTGTTTTTTATGCCAAATTTCTGGAAAATAAACAACTATTTGTGTTGTACACAGTGTTTATCCTAAACCTTACAGTATAAAATACAGTACTAACAACATAAAAAGTAAAGTAAAACATGAAATACCAAAATAAAATAAAATAGTCATTACAAAAATGTTTTGTTGTTATTCAGTAGTAAAGTTCGACTTACGACCATTTCGACTTACGACCGGTTTCTCGAAACTGAATTCGGTCGTAAGTTGGATGGTAGGTGTATATATACCTCAAACACCGTGGCTCGTAAGACGTATATGTACAACCAAAAGTCAAAGGGTTAAATGCTCTACTGGCTCTATGCGGGCCATAAATGATCTCTATTTGTTCCATCTCTGATATTTCTCCTGCCCTGAATGGGGCTGTCAAAACCCAACAATATTCCAAATGAGGCAGCAGTAGCAATTGTGTTCCTTTCATTCTATCTGATGATACTCTTGAGTTTTGTATACAGGGCTCCTTTGAGCTCATTTTTTTCTACACCTAAGCAGCTGGTATCACCAGTGAACATCATGTTGTTCTCCACTGCCCAATGGAAAGCACCGCCTTTATCTTCCTGTAATTTTTCAGTGTCTTCTACTGTACTGACTTTCATGTTTATTTTAGTGTCACTGCAATGATACAAAACTGTGATGGGTGTTTTTATCAATGTCTTCTATGAGGATGAGAAACAGCAGAGGTGCCGGGACAGTGCCTCTGGAACCGAATTTTTTACCTCACTGATGCTGAGTTTTGCTGTTTCCTACTACTTTTTGTGTTGGTGTGTTAGGAACCCAAAAATCTATCTGCCTACCTTCCCAGTAATACCGCTGGCCCTCATTTTGTGTGCTGCTATCAAACACCTTTGCACAACCTGTGTATATCACATCTGTGTTTTGGTTGTCTTTCAATGCCTCCGTAATTCTGATATAGTGGTGCAGCAGCTGTAACATGCATGATCGTCCTGCTCTAAAACCATGCTGGTTTGGATTATGCCGATTGTGCTGTTCCATGAAATTGTAATCTTATGTCTCATCACTCTTTTGAAGATTTTTACAATGTGGGAAGTTAGGGCTACTGCTCTGTAGTTTTTAGCTAGTGCTATACTACCTCCTTTATGCAAAGGAGCTATGTCTGCATTCTTTAAGGTCTCATGTATTTCACCTAGATCTGGCTCTTTCTCGAAAGAAAACTGAAGACTCGTGCCAGTGATACTTTACACATGATACACCTTCTGTACAAATTTGGATGAATTGCATCCATCACACAAAAAGCCCATTGATTATGCAGATTATTTTGGGGAAGCTTAAACCTAATGTACACTTATGATTACAGTATTTTATATGCATGTAAATAAGACATTAATGATATTCACAATAAAAGATTCAATGTATATGAATCAAATGTACATACTATATGTATATGAACCAGATAATATAAAGTACACGAGAATAAGAATACTTAAATTATACTATATGTATTAAAATTATTTAGTTAATTCAAAAGAAAAATTCTAATAAAAATAACAAAAATGAAGCTAGTTACCTGCACTGATACAAAATATGATGAGACAGTGCTTTTCTAGTAGTATATGAGAGTTGATGGAATGATGGAACAAGAACAGGGACAATATTGACTGAAAAATGGTTTCAAAATTTGTTTGGCATAATAAATTGCTGTGAGGATCACATTAAGGTTAGGAAGTGTTTTTTATAAGTACAGTCATACCCCGCCCTATGCCATGACATAACCAGTTTGTCATCATTTCAATGCCTTGAAATGATGACAAACACCATAAAACTAGCATAAATAACTCTTGAAAGAATATATCTACTGCTAAACCTTAAAAGAACACTAAAAACACATTTTAGTCACATTTTTTTTAAAATAACGAACACAATTAAAAACATTATGACAGAGGTGATGCTGCTGAGTGATGTAAAATCAGACATAATGACATTCGCTGAACTGAAATTTACTCTAGCAAAATGGCATAAAGGCAAATTTGACTTAGACCAAAATGACTACGCAGGATATGACTGTACTCTGAAGTGGCTGGCAGATATGGAACCTCTGGAATCTTCAGATAAAGAGTTCCAGATTCTAGGTCTTTTTATGTTATTGATTTTTAACACAAGTTCAGCCAGACAGGAATTTTCAGAGATTATTGTTTCTAGTATTATGCCTATGAGTTCTGTTGCAGCTATCAAGAGAGTTTCAAGGTTGGATTATATTATAACTGCTTGTCCTGAATATGTAGTGTGCACAGTGGTACGAGTGAATTTTTTTTTTTAACAAGTCAGCTGTTGCCCACCGAGACAGGGTGACCCAAAAAAGAAAGAAAAAAAAACTTTCATCATTCAACACTTTCACCATCACTCATACATAATCACTGTCTTTGCAGAGAGGCTCAGGTACAACAGTTTAGACATCCCTCCAAACTGCCAATACCCTAAACCCCTCCTTTAAAGTGCAGGCATTGTACTTCCCATTTCCAGGACTCAAGCCTGGCTAACCAGTTTCCCTGAATCCCTTCACAAAATATTACCCTGCTCACACACCAACAGCTCATCAGGTCCCAAAAGCCATTCATCTCCATTCACTATCTAGCACACTCACACACACTTGCTGGACATGGAAGCCCCTCACCAACAAAACCTCCTTAACCCCCTCCCTCCAACCTTTTCAGGGATGACCCCCACCCTCACTTTATGTATATTAAATAAGTTTGAACTTTTGAAGTAGGGGAATATGTTCCCTGGCACTAGACTGGGTGATCATTTTAATAGCTGTTTTTGAGTTACATTTTGGCTTTAGGCGATTTGCTCTAGTGAATCTCCAGGCACACATAGCACAAGTGAGATAAGGATACATTAGAGAGTAGTATAATGCAAGAAGTGCTGTTTGAGAGGATGCCAACAGATTTGGATACCTTTTTTGTTATGTGCTGAATGTGGGTGTTAAATTTCAAGTTGCTGTCAAGGTACAGACCTAAGAATTTTCCTTTTTGTCTTGCAGTGGGACAGCCATTAATAGTAACATTTAATTGGACATTTGCAGCTCTGTTCTCAAACATCATGTCAAAGTTCTTATCAATGTTATGAGTGAGTTTAATGGTAGTCATCCAGATAGATATCTTTATAAGCTCCTTATTAAATGTTAAGAGAATTTGGATGTTGGAAGGTGACAAAAGTTGCCAATGTTTGCAGACACCAGATCTAAGTTGAGATATATTTAAAAAATCACTGATATATACAAGGAA